TTCAGCTTCCAACCCTTCTACTGGTTTTGTAATGTCCAAGAACGTTTCAGTATTTTTCAAGTGTTTCCTTGTCATAGTGTTCTGGTCTTAGCCTACCGAAGACTTCTCTTCCCTCACCTCTCTGGAGATAACGGAAGTTTTATGAAGCATCTTCTCTCTTAGCCTCTGCTTCTCTCAAGTGTTGGGCTTTGGGCTTGTCATCCGTATGAGCAGCTTTCATCCGATGTCAGGTTGTCCTGGGTGAAGCGGGAGGATTAAAGAGCTGATGGATGCTTGGGTCGTGGTTCTCAATTTTGGGCTGTACAATGGAATCACCCGGGAGACTTCAAAAAACACCGATGTTGGGGTGGTGAACACACAATACTGTGTACAGATGATGTGATGTAGAATTGTATACCTGAAACCTGTATACTTTTGTTAACCAGTCTCACCCCAATGAATTCAATTAAAAAAAATAAATAAACCACTGATGATCCAGAAACACTCCTTTTAATGTTGAAGGGTATGATCCAGGTATAGCAATTTTGGAAAGCTCCCGAGATGGTATTACTGTGCAGCCAAGGCTGAGCAGTACCATCTGGGTGTTCCGCCCGAACCAGTTCTTTACTAGATCTTTCTTTTTGGCCCAGGAGGCACTTCAGGAGAGGCTATGTCTAATATTCTCTCCTGGATCTCTGTTCACTTAATTTCATTTTTGATATGGTATTTGAATTTTCAACTGTGTATAGTATCCCAGTACAGAGATTTTCTATTTTACCTCCGAAGGATAACCATGTAGGTCACTTCTGCAAGGGTAAAGGAGCAGTTGTCCAGTTAAAAAAAATGGGGAGGGATTTTATGGATTGAATGGCATTTTAAACTGACATAATTTTAGGCTCCTCTCCCCTTTAGCCATCATTTCTGGACATAGTTTGACCATTTGGAGCCTTCAGGGCATTCTGCATATAAATTATATTGGTGTTCATTTCCTTCTAATAAATTAGATTTCGGCTTTCTCTGGTTAGGTTCCCAAACTTTCCCCCCGTTCTTCCCAGAGTTGAGGGAAATTGTGACTTAAAAAAATTATTTATGATATTTTCAGTGGCATGTCAAGAGCATGTAAAATTTGGTATCTTCAATTTGTCATTCTTACATGTAAGAATGGCTATAATTCTTCATATAAGAAAGTGAACTCCAAGTTACAAAGTCAATTTCCCAACCTACCCACCCCTCCGCCCAGGAAAAAAAAAAAAAAAAAAGTGAAGATAGCAGTGATTCTGAGCCAAACAATCCAAACATAACAATGAAATCATGGTCAGGGTGAAGTCACTACGCTTTATTGCTGTTGTTGTTGTTGAATGAGACTGGGAGGAGGGAAGGAGTTTGGCCGGAAAGGAGTAGCCAGGGGCTGGGTGACCAGACCTAGCGCTGGCTTCTCAGTGTGGGCATACAGATAAAATATTACGCACGGACATACCTTATCCACATAGACTGACCCCAAACCCCCAAACAAACTGGCAGCCTAGGGCCCTGGATGGTCTACAATCACATTTTGGTGGTCCTGATAGGGAAATTTCAATTTTTCTTTTTTTGAAAGTGATTGCAGGACCTCAACCAGCAGGAGCTGGGTCGCAGCTGCCCTTGTAGATGGTACAGCAACCGTCATGTACTGTGGCGCATGCTCGGCCTCTAAAGTACGTGAATTTGCAATTTCTGGGATGTGGTTTAAGTTTTTTAAAAGTAACAACAACAACAAAAGCAATCCTTTTCACGGCAGAAGAACCCTACTTAAGTCAGAAAGAATTAAAACATTTATTGGGCATAAATATATTACATATACACTACAGATATAGTTAGGTATTACATATAGCATAGTATTTGCAAAATCTATACATTAAAATTGATATGGCAGTTTTAATACAATGTATATGAAATAGTCTAAAATTTACAATACAGGAAAACATATGATTTTTTTTTTCTCCTAAAGTTGAAAGCTTGGAATGTATGTCCAACAGTGAGGTAAAACATTTTGTCTTTAAATTTAAAGAATTGTGCAAGGATAACATTCAAACACATTCAGTTAGGGCACTTTTCAATTTTGGCAGGAATACTGAATTACTGTAGCCAACAAAACACAGTTAGAAAATGCCAACATTTCAAGTTGATAACAACAAGGCAGGTAATATGAAAACAAATCTTTTACAAAAGTTTTCTTTTTAAACAATTTCTTTGAGGACAAAGGGCAGTTTGCTTCACATGACTGGAATTTCTTGTGCCAGGGCTGAGTTTGACATACAGAGCATCCGAAAGCCACTCACTCATTCCTACATACTGCAAAAGGGCAAAGAGACAAGGTTAATATAACACTTTATTTTATTGTTCATGTGTATGGCAATATATATAGTTATATATCAATATCAGATATACATATTTGTGATAGAAAACAGTGCCAGATAGAGTAATAATTTGTTCACTGAAGGGCTTATAATGAATACCAAATAAAGAAGAGCAATAAAATAAAGTGCTGTCAGCTAGTGTTTCACACACTTCTGCTTTCTGGTGGTTAAATCTGGTAGTTATGAACATCTCAAAAAGATCCGTTATAGCGATTTTGGCCTAAAGTATTATTTCATTTTAAAAATCTCAACTGATTCAGAGAGCAGTTGTTCTTTATAGCAGCAGTTCTAAAGTGTGTCCAAAAAGGGACTTTTTTTTCCTCCTGCAAACAAGGTTTTTGTACTCAGTTGAATCTTTGTTGCTTAAAAAATGCCTTCTCCCCAAAACACCTGCATGGAATTGTCTCAGAAACTGCAGATGCAATGTGACAGTGGGTCTGACACACATTTAAATAGAGAGATGCATTGGAAGGCCAGAACTTTGGCAAAAATATATTTACCTTGATATCATCAGTTTGCAAGGCTAATTAAACTAATTATTATAGTCAATAACAAAATACAGAACTCTCTAGTACTCACTACATCAATATAGGCACACAGAATAATTAGTTAATCTTAGCACTTTCTTTAAGAGATGATTATGGTTTTCTGGGTACATGTAAACTTTTCAATCACTGATAATGGATTCTTTTTTTTTTTTTTTTTTTTTTTTGGCATTTAATGCACTAGATGCTCTTATCTTTAAAAACAAGAAAACGTCAGAAGATTGATAATACTACAGATGTTGCCAAGGAACAAGACTGACCTAAAATTACAAAAGTATAAAACACACAAAAAAATAACATGCTACAAGGGAAAATTAGTACATAAGTACATTTAAAAATTTTTACAATAAATAAAGATTGCACTGTAATTGGCATTTAAAGTACTGTATGCAGAATATAGTATAAATAAACCAAAAACAAAATAATGTTGGTTTCCCCATGACTTTGGTATGGGAATATTATAAGCTAGTACAGGATACTGCATCTTAAGACAACATAGACCAAGCACAAAATAGCTATGATCAAGAAAAACCAAGTAGCAAAAATATACAAAAACAGAAGGCAGGGGGATACACTGTGTCTGTTGCACCCTTTTGGAATATATTTGCACCTCCAACTCTTAAATGTCCCTGAGGTACGTGAACATTATGGACTTCATATAAATAATCCAATGACTTTGGGTTAAAATTGATTATCTCATGACTCAAAATAAACATGCAAGAGTAACACTTTGCACTCCAATAGCACCTGTTAATCAAAGATCTCAAAACACTTACAAACATTAGAATCCCCATTTTGTTTATTTTATTTTTAATGCATGGGAAAACTGAGGCACAGAGAGGTAAAGTGACGTGTTCAGGTCATGCAGCAAGTTAGTGACAGATCCAGGGAAAGAATCTAGGCTCCTTGACCCCCCAACACCCTGTGCTTACCACCAAATACCATTCTCTCTCCACACACAAGCAGGTCAACCCCACAAAAAGAGGAACGACTAATTCAGATGACTCTCTTCTGGGTTTTACCAATTCTCATTTGCTGTTAACTTAGTGTTTGTGCACTGAGTTAAGGTATTGAAATTCAATCACTTCATTGATACCTCAAAGAACAGCCTAAAGGCAAATCTTTCAAAAGTAATGAGCTGACATATAAGAAGATTGCTCACAATTAGTGTAAATCATGGACAATGGGCAGAGGCACTAAACTGTCACCAGTTCTCGTCATATAAATCTGGTCAAACATAACAGAATATAATAACTCTAGTGATTAGATTAGAAGTAGTTATATACAAAGACAAACAAACAAGTTAAAGCAGCTTTTAAAATAGCTGAACAAGGAAACAACTAACTATTGCACAATGCCCTCTTAAAGTTACTGCTATGAATCGACGTGGTAAAATCTACAATGCTCCATCATTTATAGGTGCATTTTGATTACTTGATTTCTTAGACAGGCAGCTCATAGTGTTAAAATCATAAAGATACAGGCTATTAAAACATTTTAAAGTACACATTTTGATTTAAATGAGCTAAACACAGTTAAATAACTGAGTGACAATATGGTTGTTTAGGGCAGCCTTATCTGAGTGAACACATCTTCTGTATGCTTTGTTGTGTGGTAATACTCTGAACAACACTGAAATCCTAGCCCGGTAACTACACACACTGTGATTCACGTTGACAGATAGATGGTCAAGACACTGAAGTGACTGATGAATATAAATTACTAATCTGCAACAAGGGGGGGAAAAATCACAGGCTTGCAAAAGATACGGGTGAACACGGAATAAAGGCAGATCTGAAAATGTAAAAGAAAGATAAGAAAACTAGCTTTTGGTATCTGGTTTGCTTTTCTTCTTTAAAACAAACAAACAAAAAAATCCAGTTTAGTCTCTTCCTAGTTTTGCATTTCAAAAAGGTGCACCAAAACACTGATATTTTTTTCCCTAGCTAAATCTGTAAAACAAGAGAAGTATATAAATCAAAGAACAAAGGGGTTTAAAAAAGGGGATTATCTGAATAAATGTGTGTATTAAAATGTGTAGCATTAATTAAATTCATACCTCTAGTTTTGTTGGGTTTGTTTACTTCATTAAGAAGTACTGTAATATAAAGGCAAATAAAATGGACAAAGTTGCAAAGCCAACCACAATGAGGGCTGCAAACTGTTCGTCAGTAGGCATCATGCTCTTCATTTTGGGGTCATCTAAGCTCCCCATGTCCCCTGTAAGCATGACCTCACTTCGTTGCAATACGAAAGCTGCAGAGGGGCTGAAAGCCCCGCAGAGCTCCTGAGAGGTGTCTAAACAGCGCCGGCACGCACACACGCGGAACCTGTAGTCTGTGTTGGTCTGGAGGCCTGAGATTTGGAATGTGGCTTCTTCTCCCTTGTACACCTTCAAGAAAAGGAAAAGTCCTGGTCAGTTCATGTAGTAATACTGTGGTCTCTAAAGTAATAATCGCATGAAGTCAGGAGACTCGTGGACCTGGCTTGGTTTAAACGAACTCTGTAACATCAAGAATTACATGGAAAGGCATTTCTTCCGATCTGTAATTCATCCTTAAAAGAGGTATTCCACCCACTCTAAATAAAACAATACAAAATCCAGTGACTGTGACATGGATAGGAGATAAGGCACTGACTAGAAGTAGAGCTGACATCCTATACAATAAAGATGTAATATGCAAATGGTCATTATGCTGTGAAGCCTAATGACAGACAGTGTAACAACAGGATCACAGATCAGCAGGAGAGTGGGGCAGTGAGCTATTATTACTAGAGGCCCAGTGCACGAATTTCATGAATGGGTGGGGTCCCTAGGCCTGGCCGGCAATCAGGGCCAATCAAGGGCCAGGCTGATTGGGGCCACATCTGCCGCCACCCACCCCAGGTTCCCCATCCCAGCCTGGGTCCTGAAGGCCCGCCCCGAGGGGATCAGGAGAGGAGATGATGGTCCCTGGGCAGGTGTGGAAGGAACAGATGCTGGAGCCACTGTCTCGGTTCCCTGCCTCCCTTTTCCTTCTTCCCTCACTGCTGTGCCGCCATTGTGGCTATTGATCGGGGCCCGAGGAGGGAGCTGGCCTTTGGCTCCCCTGGGAAAGGGGCTATGTCAGCTGCACCCACTCCTGGTTCCCTGTCTCAGCCTCGGGCCAAAGGCCCCGGTGGGGTGGGGAGAGGAGGTGATGGTTGCCGGGCAAGGAACAGGAGAAACAGATGCTGGATTCTGATGCCTGTTGTCAACACTCCACCCTCCCATCCTCCTCCTTCCCTCACTGCCACCGGGGTCTGTTGGGCTGGAGGGAGGGACCATAGGAGGTTTGCTGGCAAGGGGGAGGGACCGCAGGAGGTTGGCCACCAGCACCGAGGAGAGAGCCAGCCCTTGGCCACCTGGGAAAGGGGCGACATCTGTCACCACGCACCCCTGGTTCACTGTCCCAGCCAGGGGCCTGGCCCCAATTGGGTGATTGGAGCCTGTCAGCTGGGGGATAAGGACCACGGGATGTTGGCTGGCCAGGGAAGTTGGCTGTGGGAGTGCACTGACCACCGGGGGCAACTCCTGTGTTGAGCATCTTCCCCCTGGTGGTCAGTGTGCATCACAGCAACTAGTCATTTTGGTCATCCTGGTCATTCTGTTGTAATGTCCGCTTAGGCTTTTATATACATAGATTACTATTTAAAACTCAAGAACAACTCCAAATATATTATTACAATACAACAATTCAAAGTGATAGATAATTTCAACAGGCCAGCTTAGTAAAGTTGTGAATTTTGCCCATTAATACAAACCCCATAGAAGATAAGAAGGGTAATTCCAACAACCTCAACTTTGTCTGAAACACTCACCAGCTACAGAGTTAGTGAGAAACCACAAATGTTTAGTGTTTCTAAAGCCTGTTTGTCATCTTTTCCCAAGAAGGAGGACATCCCACCAGTGAACACAAGGACATTGGCCACACGTCTAGAGTTGGGTACGTTGACAGACAGCAAGAGAACCTCAAAGCTTAAAAAAGGGACCAGACTTTTAATGCTTACTTGATATGTAGTCTTTTTCTTAAGATCTTTGCTCCTTCATTTTAAGTGTCTCGTTTATTGTACTTTTTTCTAGTAACTAAGCTCCAGAAAAACAACGATTTGTTTCTCATATTTTTCCAGATTCATCATTTCATTTGCTGTTTTCTTTGTAAGATTTTAAGCACATTCAACCTGGTGAGTTACCCAGCTTCTTTAAAGACTATGCATGGCCTCACCTAATTACTGGTGTGACACTGGCTCCAGTACACTTGGCCCCACCATCTTCCTGGTGTGTCCAGATAACCCCCCTGGGTTCTGATGCCCCGAAGAAAGCACCGTTTCTACGATGCACAGCAACAGTCCCCCCACCCAGTCGGTGTCAAGCAAAGAACTAGGGAAGTGCTGCTGTGAGGTGGCTTCTTAGTATCTGCTGCCAAACAATGACCTCCCTGCAGAAAACCACTTACTAACCTCTCCCACTGATGTTTTAGAGAGTTTTGCAAAGTGGATTCACCTTTTTTATTTAATATCTATTGAAATGATTTCTATGATTTCCATAATTTGCATGACTTGATCCCTTTAAGAAAGTTGGCTCAGAAGTACATTTAATTTATATAATAATTTTGATTGCACTTCTCAACTCTAACTCCTTAGAGTGAAGCTCTCTGCAAATGTATTTTGAAAGCAAAGTACTTTTCTTGCACAATTAGGCAAAAAGCTTAGTGAAGGAAAATGAATATGTAATTGAAGGGAACTTCCTTAATGACAAGTCTAATCAAAAGTTAGGCTTTAATTTGTAAGTGCTTTTCTTTTAGCCATTTTTCTTGTTTTAATCAGAATAGCTCCCCCTTTCCACAACCATTGGCAATACAATGGTAACACTATCTTTAGAAAAACAAAAAAAAGAAATATTTGTGATAACTATATTGTGCAAAGGGCTGTATCTATTATCTCCACAGCAACCAGCACAATGGCTTGAACAAAGTGGACACTCAGTGAATGTTCTCTAATTGGAACCCTCAAATACGCAATAGTAGACATCCTTATCCACCGTCTGAAAAGAGGAACAGTTATTAGAAGATATACACAAACCACAGAGGCAGCAGCAAGAACTCAGTACCAGCGCAGCCCACTGTAAAAAATGGAGTTATTAACAACGATGAGGTTGTTTTCAATGTATTGATAGAAAACATGGGGTTTATAATCTACTTTAGAAATAGTCAACAATGCCTATTAAGCTTTTCAGATTAATTCTGAGCTAAGGAAAAATTAAAACAATCTCTAAGCCCCATTTCCTGAGGCTTCTGATTCCTACGGTTTGAGTTAATAGATTTGTTTTTGTGTAAATAATCACAGCCATGAGATCACAAAACCACAAGGTCACCAGGCCTGCAGCCCAGCTGTGCCTCCAGCCAGGCAACGGCTTATGGATGTGCAGCTCTCCATGGCAGGACAGCGGCCCGGCCTCCATCCATTTAAGACGCTCTTTATTGAAGTAACCAGTCAAAATACCACAATAAGTATATAGGCAATATTATTTTTACAGAGACGATTCTGTTCCTGATTTGATGTACAATGTATTTTAAAGTAATCATGACATGTTGATTCCCAGTGGGAGGGTTTAAAGTAATTCGCAGAAAAACAAAATGAAGAATTTGTGACCCTTAAATCAGAATAACATGCTGTGCAGCTAAAATCCCTCCAACAGCCTTTCAGGGCAGAGCTCTGGAGCCTGTACCTGGACCAGTGCTGGCATCTCCCTGACGTCAGCCCTCTCCCAAGAATTGGAAGGGGGGACACAGCTGCAGAGCACTGTCCCTCACATAGCACTTCTCAAGGCTGTGAGGATCTGAGGTGCAAAGGAACCCTGAGTCAGAAATCAGCGTCCTCACTTTTACAAGATGGCGCTCAGCAAGGTGGATTAATTCCTCCAGGATCACGTGACTACGGGAGGCTGACTGACACCTCACCTCCTCTGTAGAGGGTGCGAGGCTGGGCAGCACTGTGTGTCTGAGTCAAAGAGGACAGGCAGGGCAGTTCATCGACTGCTTCTTGTGGGTTGGGGGTGGTGGTGGTGGGTGTGGTTTCCACTGAGAACAGGTCCATGCTGTTCTGTTATACACCAAGCACCCACAGTGCAAACAGCACCTCACAGTTTCTCCAGAACCCCAAGATCTATACCCGGTCTCCAGGAAATTGAATATAAATTTATTTCATATGAAATTTTAAATAAATGTATGCATGAGGATTTTTTTTGGTGTGTGTGAGGAGGTCATGACTTTGTCAGATGCTTAAACCTTAAACTTAAAACCCACAAGAACCTAGGAATCAGTAAAATAAATGATGGTTTTAAACTATATCACTCTTGATCTATTCTTATTTGGCTTTGGATTTGGTACTTTAATTGTGGAAAAATAAAACACTGTACATGAGACAGTCAAAGACTTATGGTTTAATTTCTGTTAAGGAACTGAATTGAAAGCCATTAAAAATGTAATTCTATTAATATCCCACCCCAACAAATTTAATAAAAATTTAAAAAAATCACTCAAATAAAACTAAAAAAACTAAAAAATATGTAGGCTCCAAGACTAAGTTTTGTCAAAAGGTCTTACAGAATCTTATGTGATACCATGAAGACTCAACACACGTTCAGCACTACATTCTAAAATGACACTAAATAGAAATACCCTGATACAGAGATGCCATTAAATTAAATATGAAGCTCTAGAAATTTCCAGATGCTTCAAAGGCCATCTTAATGCAACAAACAGGAGAACCAAGAATATTAATAACTTGTCGCAAATTCTGACTCCTAATAGGTAATGATGTCTTACAATTTACTACTTTTTTCTCACCTTCAATGTTTATATTTAAATATTTTTTAAATAAAAAATATTGCTTTCTGAACAGGGATGTGAATATGAACATACGTTCTTATGTATGCCTTAAACTATTTGCTATATTTTGTGCAAATGCATGCCTAAATATGCATGCGATTTTCATTCATTTCAAGAATACTTTACAATTAATATTGACTGAAAAGAAGTTTTAAGCTTCTTGAGAAAACCGTGTGCTTAGAATGTTTATGAAGCCAAGACAAAATTAGCAGGCATCCTAATACTCAGTAAAATTTTAGATGAGATTTAATACTTTTAATTAATAATTAAATCCAGCTGAACAAAAGAAAGCTAATCAACTAGAACCAAAGCAAAGTCAAGTCACTGCTGCAAGCATAACATCAGAAAAGCCTTGGTCTTTGCCGTACGTTGCTGTGACAATAAGTGTGGGGAGCAGAAGGATAGCCCCCTCTTAAGGGTGGTTTCTACCTAAGTTACAACATCCCTGCTAAACCCACCCGATGCTGAACTATAAGTGCGAATAACTCTGTTCCTTGGAAACTGCCTCTTCTGCGCTTATAAGAAACATGTACTGAGTGCTTAGCTATGTGCCAGTCCTGGGAAAATAAAAAGGGGAAAGAGCCCACACACCAGTGGATCCTGAATGGTTAGTGCGGTGACCAAGGTATACACAGTGCTCCCTCGGAGCCTGCAACCTGCAGGGCTGTGCTCAGCAGTGATTACCGCTCATTTTCTGTTGCTTTGCCTCCATGAATTCAAAGCCTGTTATCTCCGGACTATAATTATTTTAACCATTACTCTGCACACATAATATAAATAGCTTTCATTCCCTATCTTGTGTCCAGAACAAGTGAATGAAGTACTCAAAACATGATGTTTAACTTAACGCTGATTGAATAGGGAGAAGCAGAAAACTCAGTACAAATTGTCCCTGACTCAACTAAAGCTTTTCATGTACCACTACCGACCTTAATCATTTCTTGGTAAATGTAGGGAAGACATGGTTATGTGGAGAATGCTAACCCCTACCTACTGAGCCTGGCCTGTACTACTGTGTTTTTACCTATTTTTAACAATAATCTCGTTTGTAACTGTTTATAATAAGAAATATATTCTGAGGCATATGTGGGATTGTGTATTATATTAGTATTTATATGTCCATGGGTCTAAGCATATGCCATTAAACAAATAGCAGATTCAAAACAACCAATATGTCAATAAAATCTAGATTACTGAGTGGATTTACCTATATTTTTGTCAATGACTGACATGTATAGATACTGCTTTCTATTTTTTAAAAATATTTTTTTATTTATTTTATAGAGGAAGGTAGAAGGAGAGAGAGATGGAAACATCAATGATGAGAGAGAATCACTGATCAATGCCTTCTGAATGCACCCTACTGAGCCAGCAACCCGGACATGTGCCCTGACAGTGAATCAAACCGTGACTTTCTGGTTCACAGGTCAACGCTCAACCACTGAGCCATCCAGCAGGGGCTAGATACTGCCTTTTAAAGGTAAAACAGTAATCACTGTGCTTTAAGAACATTTGTTTCCAAAAACATGTGGAAAAGTATGAGACATGGAATAAAAGGAAAATTCAATGACGGATATGCAATGAATGTACTGTTGGGAAATGAATTGTTAAGTGTCAAGTAATATGTTGTGAAATTTTGTAACATTTCATTTCTAACCATGTTTGGATTGCGACCGAACAGGAAAATGCTACTGGTGTTAAAGATGACTAAATCTAGCAGGAAAATCCTCTGCTCTCTACCTGAGCTGAGACCCTGGAACCAATCACATCTTTCTGGCAAGCTGAAACAATTACACACGTAAAATTATTTACTTTGAAATCGGACATATTGTGTAGAATGAGATTGGAAAGTGAAAGGAAACAGTAGTGTTTTTGCTCTTATTTAAAAGGAATAGTGGAAACTTTGGTGACATCATCTATTGATGTTACTCAATACTGGTGGATGTCATAGTTAAAATACAGTTTTTACAAAATGTGCTGAAAGCAATACATTCTTTTATCTGACACCACATATTAATAAAGTACAGTGAAATGTACCAAAATTTCTTTGATTCATTTTACACATTTTTATTTGTAAGTATTATCTATATCTATATATCTATATCTATATCTATCTATCTATCTATCTATCTATCTATCTATCTATCTATAAAAGGCTAAGTGACTGACAGTACATCTGTCCAACCGAGTGGCAGATATATATGACATGCACTGGCAATTTAAAAATAAACGTTGAGCCGAAACCGGTTTGGCTCAGTGGATAGAGCATCAGCCTGCGGACTGAAAGGTCCCGGGTTTGATTGCGGTCAAGGGCATATACCTTGGTTGCGGGCATATCCCCAGTAGGGGGTGTGCAAGAGGCAGCTGATCAATGATTCTCTCTCATCGATGTTTCTGACTCTCTATCCCTCTCTCTTCCTCTCTGTAAAAAATCAATAAAATATATTAAAAAAAATAAAAAAAATAAAAATAAACATTGACTTGCGCATGCAAGATACATATAAAGCTCTCGCTGGTGCCAATCACACGTGTGTTTTAATTTTATAATACTGTATTATATATACTATTTTGACATGTAGTTTTTTTCAGTAATGAAATTACTGCATGAATCTTTCTTCTAATTAATTTCAATGTGCATGAATCTATGCATTAGGCCACTAGTTACAATATAAGAAACATAGACCAGCAATTAAACAAAAACTGAATCAGATTATTTTCAACTTGCTTTGTGTATCTGTAGCTTCAAGAGCTGGATAAAGAATTCTTCACTAATTATGCTAATTTCAGAAGACAGATGACAATGTGTCTTCAATTTTCTGAGTTTGATGTAAATGCATGACTGAAGTGCTGATAAGAAATGGGCCTTGCCGGGACCGGTTTGGCTAAGTGGTAGAGCGTCGGCTTGCAGACTGAAAGGTCCCGGGTTCAATTCCGGTCAAGGGCATGTACCGTGGCTGCGGGCACATCCCCAGTAGGGGGTGTGCAAGAGGCAGCTAATCGATGATTCTCTCTCATTGATGTTTCTAACTCTCTATCCCTCTCTCCTCCTCTCTGTGAAAAATCAATAAAATATATTTAAAAAAAAAAAAAAAGAAAAAAAAAGAAATGGGCCTTAGCTTTCCTAATATAGTAATGGTATGATATACTGATTTCACATAAACAGTCATTAAGTTCCTGGGAACATTATAGAAACCAACAGAGTATCTGAATTTTTACTTGCCAGTGTTTTAGAATGTGTGGGTTTGGAAGAATCAGGGATCAAGAAGGGGTGTGAAAATCATAAAACTAAATTCTCTTTCTGGCTATCTAGATTCCAATGACATTTTCTCTTGCGTAGGTTTATCATGATCTGCACAGCCTTGCTGCTCAGGTGATGGCCCAGCAACATCAGCATCACGTGGGAGCTTGAACCCTCACCCCAGACCCACTGAACCAGAGTTTGCATTTTAACAAGTTCTCATGCACATTGGAAGGTGACCTAGATCCTCAATCACAGGCCGCAAGAGTCGGTAGGTCCTATTCCTTATTCTGCTGCTGTAACTTCTATTCAAAGCAGACGGGACACAGGCTTCAGTAGTTTAGTAAAGACTACCTGCTCTCTACAGTAAAACCTCTGGCACTTTAGCTTTTAATTGCAGACAAGACTTTGATGTTTGCAAACACCACAGCCAATATCAAATACAAATATAGTACTCTTTACAAATAAGATTATGTTTGAGAACTGACCATCAGTGTTGTTTGAGATGAATACCACCACATGCAAATAAAATGTAAACTAGGGCTTACAAACTCTAAAGAATTAGGTAATGGGTATGCGTAGGGAGTTTCCCCAATTGACTAAAAAAAAAATAAAAAAAAATGGAGCTCACTGGTCACTGAATCACCCATGGAGACAGGGGAAGGCAAGGGCCAGCCTGACTCAGAGCTGCACACCTGCTGTGCATAGTGGTTCTCACCTGTTTGTACTCAGATTCTCTTCCGACCAATACCTGCAGAACGTAGTTGACAGGGTCACCTTTCATTGGTGGTACCGTCTCCCATAAAATTTCACATGAGTTTCCTTCTAACTGTGTTACTCGAGGTGCTGAAATACAAATTAACACACTCAAGATTAGAATTAAAAGCATCACATTAACAGTGACAATTTTAGTAATATGAGACACACACACACACACACACACACACACACACAGAGAGAGAGAGAGAGAGAGAGAGAGAGAGAGAGAGAGAGAGAGAGAGAGAATGAATGAGAGTACAATTGTGTCTGCCCCAGGGGAGTTATTTGCCCAGCCTCCTATAAACCCAGCAGGGCACCCTTTCCACAGGGAAGATACTCCGAGACTGCTTGGCCTGAATTGAATTTTTGTTATTTTTTTTTCAAAGGCTACCTTTATGATTAGGTCCTGAACTAAGTAATTTGGGGGATGCAAAAATCAGTACCATAAACCCTGCTTTCTAGGAAATTAAGGTCTAACTTAGGGAGTGAAGAGTAAGGTATGAGACAAGTACAAAAAGAAAGATACTATAAAGCAGATTAGAACGAGAAGTGTAAATAGAATATTAGGAAATTCCGGTGGAGAGAACCTATGTGTGAGAGTGTAGGGAAGGTTGAGGAACAGGTGGCATTTGAGGTAGGTCAGCTGTGCAGAAAGCAGAATGCTGCGGCCAGAAATGGAAGATGCAGGCTCAGCAGAGCTGTGGAGGAAGCACCTGGGCCGAGTGGCTTTTGCTCACTCCCCAACCTCATGAAGGGGGCAGAGAGTCAACTAGTCACTCACAAACCTCGAACAAATACTCAAGATCCTGCAGCTTGCCAGCAGGATCGCTCTACAGTGAGAGCTCTGGACCAGCTCTGGAACAGGTACTGAAGTGCCCACATCAGTCTAAGCATGAATGCCAAACTCTGCTCTTCCTCACGGTCTTTGGGAAGAGAGATTCTCCAGCCTTCCATGGTAAACTGTCGTAAGTGCTACACCAGGATTTCAATCTCACTTCTCACCGAAGTCTGCCCCTGAGGTCTGTCTCTTTTCTTTGTCCATCTATCCCCCGTGGGGATGAGACCAATAAATTGGTAATAATCAATTATACACACTTGATAAAGTCTTTTGGTAAGCCATCTCCTTTACGGTCTCTCATTCCCCGCCCCCTGCCCCCCTACCCCCAACCCATTTCCCTAGCTTTCCTTTTAGAAAGTTCTATCTTGCTGATATTGGAAATACAGGGTATCTCCAAAAATGTGTACACACTTTAATAGCTGATAGCGCAATTTTGAAATGAATGTATTTTAATACATACTGTCTTTATAACTTAGTGTGTATAGATTTTTTTGGGACACCCTATAATACAAGAGTATACTTCAAGTCAGACTTGTACCTCCTATTCTAATTTCCATTTCCTTCCTCTCACAGAAGAGCAGGCCAGAATACAGGGTCTACAAACCTTTGAGGGTCGGGGGGACACTCTTAGTTGTGCTGAAGGTGTAGGTTTCCGAGAAGGGCCCTTCCCCAGCTTCGCTCGCTGCCTGGATTCGGAAGGAGTAGCATGTGAATTCCGTCAATCTCTGGACCTTGTAGGTGTGGCTGGGTCCTCTGTAGATTGAAATAAACCTAGGAGGAGGAGCAGAATCAATCAGCCACATGAACTTTTGTTACTGAGAAGAAATGAACTGCGATACAAACTAGTGGAGCAGATTAGACCAAGTTGGTAAATGCTTTTCATACAGTCTGAATTATAATAATCACTCAGTTGCTAGTTATAATTAAGTTTAGGGTCTCATATATCTTTATATAAAAGAAAAACACGCGTTTAAGTACATATAAAGCTTAGAATGAAATCCTTTTAATTATGCTATAGATATGTTTGTAGAGTGCTTTTATTAATAAAATTTCAAGTTTTTCATAATGGTAATATCTATATAATCTGATACTGTCAATCTACCATCTATTATGTACCAGGCAATGAAGTTAATGTTAATTGGCCACCTAAGAAATACAATGACCCATTTCCCTGAATTTTCCAAAACTGAGGTTTAGCTAGAAAATACTTAAACATGTACCCTCTACCTCCCCAAGAGCTCTCAAAGCCCCATTCCCAATCTAATAAGAAGACATTTAGGATTATAACTTTTGGATAAAATATGTAAAAGAAACAAAATGCTTTGCTCAGAATCATCCATCACAGTTAATCAAAATAACAGAAAAACAGCACAGGTAGGCTAAACAGTTTAGACTGACAGCTTCTGAATCCTCCCATCTGAACCAGGACACAATATTCATACTTCGCTGTTAATTAATATTTCCATGAAACATAAGCATAGAGGGCATGAGATTAAAAAATAAGTCCTTACCCAGCCAGTATGGTTCACTGGCTGAGCATCCACCTATGAACCAGGTCACAATTCAATTCCCGGTCAGGGCACATGCCTAGGTTGTGTGGTCGATCCCTGGAAAAGGGCGTGCAGGAGGCAACCAGTCAATGATTCTCTCTCACCTGGATTTTACTCTCCCTCTCTCCCTCTCCTTTTCCTCTCTGAAATAAATTTTAAAAATATTAAAAAAAAATAAGGCCTTACATGTCAACTCTTGTCCCTCAGGGCCTTGAAAAATTGCTATTTTCACAATGAAACTGTATTACTGAGAACGACATCACATGGTCATCATTTCTTTAAAAAAATAAAATAAAAAAAAACCACACCCCACCAAAAATATGATTATATTTAATACACAAGTTTAATACAACCGAAAAGTAAAACACCAAAGTAAAACAGTAACAAAAAAACATGGTATTTCATTTGCAATGCATGAGAAATGGTTAACATCTTTAGTCACAAACAAGCTTCCATCATTTGTCTTTTACAGCTACTAGTAACTATAAAATTTTGGAAGTAACATAAACATCCCATAAATTATCCAGGATCTTTAGGAGATTCGGGATCTGGATCCTGTTGGTCCAGGGACACTTGGAGAACACTGTCGGAGCTAATCCAACCACACAACTGCCTTGCTGCGCAGAGACAACGTGGCTCTGCAGTCTCCAGTGCTTCCTCCTCACAGCACCTGAGGACAAGTGCTGTGTCCAGATGCTGCAGGAAGTTGGTCAGTGAGAGAATCATAATTCAAAATGTGACTCTTAGGTCCATTTGGCCTAAGGGGTGAGCAAAATTCATGCATTCATTTGGCAAACATTCGAACATCTGCTGTGCACCAGGCTTTGTGCGTTCAAAGCCGAATAAGACCTAATCCCTGTCAGTCTGGGCAGGGTTTTCTGAGGGAGAGCAGTAGCTTTTCCACGTGCTAGGGAACAGTCCCTCTGGGTAGATGGATGGATAGAGGTAAAACAACTTTCTAAATAAAAACTGTCAGAATCAACACTTATTTTAAAATATCCATGCATTCATCAGCCTTTGCGGTTGAGTTCCTGAGCCACAGTCCTTCCACCTATTACATGGCCCTCTGCTCTGCTCTGCTCTGCTCTGTAAGGAAGCACCTTTAACTGAAGGCTGAACATGTTAATGCCAGGGAAAGCCAGAGTCCAGGCTGAATCCCGCAAATACCATGGCAACCTATTCAGTGCTCTTGATGCATCACCACCTTAATGAAGATACTCTTGCTAATGCCAGAGGCAAACAGCTATTTATTAACTCAGCCTCACCTGGGCCAGAATCTCTAACCTGAGTAATTGCCCTTAATTATACCACAAAATGGAAATCATGGTTTAAGGAGCAAAAGTGTGACATCTCCACCACAAACTTACAACAAAGCCTGGATTTTAAAGGAGTTGGGGGGATATACCCCCCGCAGTGGCTCCCTGTCCTGCCCTGCTTGAAGGTGAGCATTTCCTTCTGAAAAGAAGTCCAGTATGACCATGGAGGCAGCAGCATGTCTCTGACTGCCCCTTTAATGCAGCCACCTGTCTGCTCCGGTGCTAATAGAGCATGACCTGTTTGCTGCTCCGATGAAAGCCATCACTGTGCTGCCTCCCTGCCCTCCCCTCAGAAAAGGCATGGATGAGGGGAGGGGGTTTTCTTACTTGGTTCTCAAAATGCATATGGAAATAGCTAACACAGATGGTGGCTAGTTAACCAGGTGCAGAGCCCTCAGTAGGAGGAAAGACAGTGGAGGGCATGACAGACTCTCTCCTGAGTGCAAGGGGCAAGGAGGTGGGGAGGGGAGACACTGGAGATCCTAAGAGTTTTGGGGTTACAACTCCAAGAGAGCCAAGCATCAATAGTGTCAACTCCACGTTAACTGCCCACCCAGAGAAATAGATGCACCCTATCCCCATGGGCCTGTGTCCTAATGGACACACAAGGGCCCAAGGTCAGAGGAGCTGGGCAATGAAGCCAAGGGGGTTGTATCCTCTGCTTCCTGAGGACCTCCCCCAGTCGCCTCATCCTCGGGGGGCTGTTTCAGACAGGCACCATGTCTGCACACTGTGTAAGAGCTCATATTTTTCTCACTCTAGAAATTTTCTCTATCCTTTTCTCCTTAAGAAAATGGATAGCTAAAAGCAGAGATAGCTAAGGAAATAGCTAAGGAAATGAATAGCTAAGAGAATTGAAGAATCAGATTGTGGGGTGAAAGTGATGAGAAATCTGGTATGGAATATGAAATATGGAAGTCATTTACCAGTTACTTCTTATTATATATTATTTTACTGTTTTAACAAAGAAATTTATAAAATATACAAGTAGGTAGAGTCTAGTTCAGTTTAACAATCCGATATAATAAAGAGGAAATATGCAAATTGACCTTCATGCCCTCACACAAGCTGGCCTCCCCCATGTGGTCAAAGATGGCCGCAACAAGATGGCTGGCAGGGGAGGGTAGTTGTGGGTAATCAAGCCAGCAGGGAAGGGCAGTTGGGGGCAACCAGGCCTGTAGAAGAGAGCAATTGGGTGTGACCAGGCTGGCAGGGGAGGGCAGTTGGGTGCAATTAGGCCAGCAGGGGAGCAGTCTGGCATCTATTAGGCTGGCAGGGGAGTGGTTAGGGGGTGATCAGGCTGGCAGGCAGGGGAGAGGTTGGGAGCCAGCAGTACTGGATTGTGAGAGGGATGTCCCAGATTGGAGAGGGTGCAGGCTGGGCTGAGGGACACCCTCCCTCCCCCCAAAAAAAAACCTCAGTGCATGAATTTTATGCATCAGGCCTCTAGTCAGAAAATAAAATCCTTCAAAAAATCTCAGCTTCAATTTTAGGTTTCAGAAAATATTTTCATATAAAAGACAGTTTGGCACTTTCAGTCTAATTCTAAGGGTTTTAGTTTTGAAAACTTTTAATGGGTAACACTGGTTTTAAGTTTTCTACGCCCATCTTGCTAACTGATATGCTCTAAGTGCAGGTTCTGTGACCAGGACTGGCATTGCAGACCGCGACATCAGCGACTCCATCCTCTTCGTGCCTCCACATTATCCACTGTGCAATCATAGGACCAGCCTCAGAGAGCTGTTGTGAGAGTTAAGTAGGTTAATAAAATAAGAGTGCTCAGAACACCTCTGACATGTAATAACCACTTATTATGTGTTAGCTGTAATTATTTTACAATGCTGAGAATATAGGACTTTATTTACTAAAGGGCCGGTGCATGAAATTTGTGCACGGGGGAGGGGAGGGAGTATATGTGTCCCTCAGCCCAGCCTGCACCCTCTCCAATCTGGGACATCCCTTTCACAATCCAGGTCTGCTGGCTCCCAACTGCTCACCTGCCTGCCTGCCTGATTGCCCCTAATTGCCCTCCCCTGCTGGCCTGGTCACCCCTAACTGCCCTCCCTTGCCAGGCTAGTCGCAGCTAATTGCCCCTCCCCTACCAATCTGGTCACCTCCACATCCCCCCCACCCCCACGCAGGCCTGGTTCCCCCTGCAACTGCTCTCCCCTGCAGGCCTGGTCCTCCCCAACTGCCCTCCACTGCAGGCCTGGTTGCCCCTAACTGCCCTCTTCTGCCAGCCCAGTCACCCCTAACTTCCCTCCCCTGCTGCCCTAACTGGTCCTCCCCTGCAGGCCTGGTATCCCCCCCCCATCCCCTCAACTGCCCTCTCCTGCAGGCCTGGACACTCCCTCCCCCCAATTGCTCTCCCCTGCAGGCCTGGTTGCCCCTAACTGCCCTCCCCTGAACTGGTTGCCCCAAACTGCTCTCCCCTGCTGGACTGGTCGCCCCAACTGCCCTCCCCTGCTGAACTGGTTGCCCCCAATTTCCCTCCCCTGTAGGCCTGGTTGCCCCCAACTGCCCTCCTCTGCTAGCCGGGTCACCCCTAACTGCCCTCCCCTGCAGGCCTAGTCCCTCCTAACTTCCCTCTCCTGCATGCCTGGGTCCCTCCCAACTCCCCTCCCCTGCAGGCCTGATCACCCACAACTGTTCTCCCTTGCATGCCATCTTGTGGTGGCCATCTTGTGTCCACAGGTGGGAAGCCAACTTTGACCACATGGGGTCTGCCATCTTGTGTGTTTGAGTGATGGTCAATTTACATATTACCCTTTTATTTGAATCCTCACCCAAGGATATTTTATTTCCATTGACTTTTAGAGAGAGTGAAAGGGAGAAGGGGAGAGAGAAACATTGAATGATTGTCTCCTGAAGCCTGGGGATTACCCTGCAACCAAGGTACATGGCC